TGAGAGAATGAATTAAATAGGGTTTGAAAATTGATTTAAATAAAAATTAATTTAAAAATTATTAATTAAAACCTGATTTATGTATTATTAAATATGATTTTGGATTTATGAAAATGGTATTTTAAAAACCTGTGCGGGTGTAATTTCCTCAAAAATCATTCCATCTGTAGAGTGCGCATAGTCGGCCCGGTTCACATTTTGCCACGACCCATGCCAGTAATGTATCGGGTGGCCCATTAGGTCCAATTCTTACTTTTGGTTAAATAATTTTTTATTCATACATTTCGTAGAAATCACAGATATTAAATACTTTATAATTTATATTTCCCTGTTTATAAATATGTATTAGATTTATCCCAATTAATCTCAATACTCAGCCTAATTAAATTGAATATCTAGTTAGGTAATCATCTATCCCAATTAATTAATTAAATCATACTCAATTACCCATCAATCATCACAATTATGATGCAAAATCCTCAAATTGACCAAAAGTACCATACAATTTCTGCTAAATCATATCCATCGGCCGTCATCATAATTGAGTGGATAATTAAATATGAATTTTTAAACTCACACAATTTCATTTTCTTTTACCAATATTTTTCTCAAATTTTGACTCAATTTTAAGGTGATTTTACCCTTTCTTTTCTTTCTTTTTCTTCTTCCTTTTTTTTTTGGTAATTTTTGTTATATTTTTATTGCTAGTTGTGTTGTTCGATTTGTGTTGGGCTCCTTTAAATTTTTAACTGACCAATATTTTTTTTTAATTACTCGCATCTCAAGTTCTTGATCAGGTGACTCAATTTATTATTTATTTTTTAACTTAGTTGCTAGATTTTATTGTTAGTGTTTATAATGATTTGGTAGATTACTTACATGATCGTTGTAAGATTTTACTAATGAGCCTTTTGACATAGTACTTTGATGAAAATTGAAAGTAAATAAGAACAACACTGTCTCCTAAATCATCAAAGATGCGTTAGTCATGCAAATACCTGCAGTTGCTTCTGATTATGCATTCGCTATTAGTGGTCGAATTATTGGTTCTTTTAGGAGTTCTTGTAGTACAAAAATGGTTGACGTGATGATTTTGCACTAAGAATTGGTTGCATAGTAATAAGGAATCTATGGTGATTCGTCAATATTTGAATAAAGTAGGATCATTGGATACTTCAGAGAAAATTGTAGAAGGTATTATCATATTTGACATTTTTATTCACTTTCTTTTATTAGTTGCTTTATAACGTTCAGTTATAAATAATGAATACATTTTGCTATATTCTTTTCTTTAATGAATCATTTGTTGGTGTTGCAACAATTAGTATCAACTAGGATGTTAGAATTAAAATATTTCTATCATTTTGTAAGATCAGAAGTGTAAAACTTGGGTTTGTAATTTTTGTAATGATATTAATATTTATGTTTTAACCTTAGATTTTAGATTAATATTTATGATTTAATTTGTTTGATTTTTGTTATTTTTTTGTTTGCTAAATCATGATTTTGAACCGAACCAAACCTGAAAAAGTGATTTGGTTTGGTTCGATTTGAAGCAATTTGAAACTATTTTATGTGGTTTGTTTGAAAATTTGTCACAACCGTATAAATCAAACAGTGTTCACCCTACTTGTAACTCTAAAAATTCCACTGATGGAACACAAGAAAGGGTAATTATACGAGGAATTTGTCTGTCAAGCCCATTGTTTGGGTGGAGAGAAAAATAGCCAATGGAGAAATTAGCAAATTGGCCACTTTTACTGGTTAAATGCCAATTATATCATTTTTATTGACAAATAGTACATGATATTTGTTAGATGTACAACTTTTGATCATAATTATTAAACTCGACTCAACTAAGAGCTTGTTTGGGAGTAATTTTTGGGAGAAGAATAGTGATATGATGAGAAATGTGTGGTTGAAAAAGAAAAAAAAAATTATTGATGTGATGGAAAATATTATTTTATTGAAGAATGTGTGTTTGAAAATGAGAATTGATTTACTGTTAAATTTGATAATCTCTTCCAAACACCCCCTAAGGCTTTCGATTATCAAGTCACTAGTCAGGCCTTCAGTTCATTACTTAATTTTTTTTTTTTGTTGAAGTACAAAGTTCGCTCTTCAAAAAATATAATTTTTAAGTTACTTGTCACCAATTAATTTTGCATCTACAAATTATTGATATTGTAAATTTATTTGTTACTGTATAATAGAAATTCTAATAATATTTATATTATTCCCATTTTCTAATGTATAAATATATTAATTATCATCGAAAACTAGTCTGTATTTAAAATATTCTATTCATCTTGACTAAAAATAATTTCTCTATATGTTTGTTAATTGCATCAACTATACTTTAATTACTATAATTTTTTTTAGTTTTTGCGCTTATATCTTAAATTTTTCTGGTCACATTATTATCTTTAATTTTTAATAACTTAGCACATATTGTTTTAATTGACAATTTCTATTTAAATATTCTGTTAGAGAGAGGAATATATATATTTTTTGCATTTGTTATTTATCTCGCTTACTTTTTAATACGAGAGGCAAATAAGTTACTTGACTCTCCCATAATGGACTTTTTTACGAACAAAATATGTTCATTGTTAGGAAATAAGAACGAAAGTATATGACACAATATGAAGTAGCAATCAAAACACAGCAAGAACACAAGAAATTTGATAGAGGAAATGAGAATTCACTTTAATATGAAAAAAGAATACAAATAAATTGTGTTTTTAATATTGTCTAACTTGCTGTGAAAAGCCAACTATATATAAGGTACATCGTCAAACTCTAATTATAATGTTAAAGATGGGAAGAACATAAAAAAAATCGTGGAATAAAGAAAACAATCTTCAACTGGAACACAGTGAAGCTTGAGCGTCATCGACGCTAAGCGAGCGGCGAGC